TTGCCATGCCATGATATGAGTGGAAGAAGCTGATGTGGCAGTGCAAGGCATATCTTCCTTGCCATTGCACATGTTCTTATAAGCAATTTTAACTTATAAGTCAGCAGATGACATTTTTCTTTGTGTTTATAACATGACTTATTAGCTGCTTATAAGCCAGAAAAAATAAGTAGATCTTACTTGTTTTTAGGTCAACTTTTTTGTTTCTTTTTTTAATTAGATTACTTACAAAACTATCTCTAATCTATTATTAATATCCTCAAATAACTTTTATATCATTTAAGTCATTTTATCTGCACGAAATAATTTTTAACTTATAAAAATTGTATAAATTAAAAACTACAGTATTTATAAGCAATAAGTCAATAAGCATTAGCACAGAGAACCACTAACATAATGTATTGACTGATTGTAGAGTATATTGAGATTGTTCTGACTCGTTGTGAAATGAGCAAATCAATAATTATATAACTGTTTTTTGCATTTTCTGAAAACGCAAATTCCTCGCAAAATACCAAATATTTGGTTAGTATATCTCATAACATTTTGAAATTTGTGACTTTTTTCTAAACTTTACCGAACTTTAAATTTTCTCCAATTTCCTGAAAATTACTCCATCCGTCTCTAAATAAGTTACAATTTTTTTTTCTCTCCTCTCGATAACTTTTGTTTGTTTATGCGATTTTATTAGGTATTTGATAAAATAAAATATTTTTATCACCTCTTATTTTGTAGAACTTTTGATGTAGTTTTTTAATATGTAATTATTATATCTTATTGATATACCAATTTGTAAATAAAATAATTTCAAAAAGTAGAAAATTTTACTCCGTAACCCGCAATTTGTAATCAAATTGGGGACGGAGGGAGTATAAATTTTGGATTATGCTATGTGTACCCCAAGATTTGTACCCCAATTTGTACCCTGTAGTTTTGCACCAACATTTTGTGTTGATGTAAAACTAATTTTTGTTAAACGCACCAACATTTGTGTCTGTGTGAATTTTTATTAACGCACCAACACTTGTGTCGGTGTAAACCATCGAAATGTTTGTGCAAACCTGTGGTGTACAAATGGGGTATATTTGTTGGTGTAAGTGTAGCATGGTCCATAAATTTTACGTACAAAAAAAAGAAAAATAAGAAGGAAAGGGTGAGAGAGAAGACTTTGGTGTGTTTTGTCCCTTTGTGTAGCGATAAAACGTGGCTAGTGATCAGTGAAGTAGGACCGAAAAGGTACAGTGCGGTAAAACGGGCGATCCGAAAAAATATACCTTTCTCTCTCAACCGTTCATCTTCTTTCTCTGACTCCGTAAAAACAAAAGAATTACAGAAAAGGAGGAAAAGTCTTCTTCTGGATTTATATTTTTTGCTGTTCTATCCATTTCTCAGGTGTGGGAGATCTCGCTTCTCCGTGCTGTTTTTAGTGCTTTGCCGATCAATGGATAAACTTTGAGCTCTTTTTGCTAGGTAAAGATTTGCCCTTTCTTTTTCTTTTTCTTTTGTTTTTTTTACTCCAAGAATTTTGTCTTTAAATCGTCTTTGATCAAGGAAGGAAATACATAGAGAATTATACTGCGCCACTTATGTTTCTTAGTTCTTTTGGCCTTTTTCGACAGAACCCATATCGGGAAAAGGGAAGAATTACGAATAATAAGCAGTAGGGAAAAGTCTTTTTTTTTGAACGGTGATCGAAGGGCTGTCAAGGAATCATGGCGGTGGTTGAGAATGCTGCGTTGAACGGCGTCGGATCATCGAACGGGGACGAAGCGACTGTACAGAACGGCGTGGTTGCTGCTGATCGTCATCTCCAGTCTGCGAAGACTGATCGGCGGTCAACTGAGCCCAGCGGGGTTCAGAATTTCCAGATGATGCCGGAGGAGGAAGGTGAGGGCATAAACGGAAATGGTGTGGTGGGCGAGCATCGTAACCCTTCGCCTCTGACAAAGAACGGCGGGGATTTGATGATAAATGGGGAGATTGATAAGGGCGGCGATGGTGGCGGAGAGGAGGGGTATAAAAGGGAGAAAGAAATGAGGGATTTGGCCGACATGCTGTCCAAATTAAACCCCATGGCGGAGGAGTTTGTGCCGCCTTCTTTCTCCAAGTTCACACATGTGCTTCTCCCTCCCGGCGGGCATTTTGGGTATGACGCTGCCGGCTTTATTGCTCTGCAGACTCCTTCTGGCCTTCCCAATGGGAATTTTCTCAGAAGGGTAAGTCCGTAAATACCTAAGCAAATGAATGGATTTCATTTCCCTTGGTATTCGAATGTGTCTGAAAGCCGTTTACAGTTGCAGAAGAAGAATGGGCATACTAATGGGAAGAGAAGACTGAATAATAGAACAAGCATGGCACAAAGAGAAGAGGTCATAAGGAGAACTGTTTATGTGTCTGACATTGATCATCAGGTGAAAGAACAAAAGCCATCTTTGATTGAACTCTATTTGTTACTCATCATTCTCATTGTCTCTTCTTTCTGAACATTTTCGAATGATGCTGTAACTGCAGGTCACTGAAGAACAGCTTGCTGCACTGTTTCTCACATGTGGCCAGGTGATTACCCACACTTAATGCTTTTTATAAACCTCTTGATGGAACATCCTATTTGAAACTATTTTACTTTTCGTGTTGATTAAGGTTGTTGATTGCCGTATCTGTGGTGATCCAAACTCTGTCTTGCGTTTCGCTTTTGTTGAGTTTACTGACGAAGGTTAGGCTAAAAAGTGCATCTTTTTAAGCATTGAACCATGGTTAATCAAGTTATGGTAGTTATTGACATTGCCTTCTTTATATCTTTTGTGCAGAAGGAGCAAGAAATGCTTTGAGTTTGGCAGGAACCATGCTTGGCTACTATCCAGTGAGGGTGCTTCCTTCCAAAACAGCAATTGCACCGGTCAACCCCACATTTCTTCCACAGGTGCGAACCCACCGTTGCTTACCTATGGTGAATTCTTTCACTTTCAGTTTTGATGCACGAATTTGGGGGGTTATGTGTAAACAAAATAGAAGGAAGGAATAACATAATAGAAAATCATATACTACGGGGTATGACATTTCAATTTTCAATCACCCTATATAAAGCCATATGTGAACCTTCAAAACCCTCCATCAAAACCCCAAAATGGCAGAGTTGTGATGGTTCATTGTTTGCTTCATCTTCTTTGTGGTATGCAGTCTGAAGACGAGAGAGAAATGTGTGCAAGAACTATATATTGCACAAACATTGACAAGAAGGTAAATGCAATTTTTTTTTTCTCTTATTAATTGAGCAATTAGTAGCCGTTAGAGGGATCTTAAGGATTTTAATACTACTTGCAGGTTACTCATTTGGATGTCAAGCTCTTCTTTGAAACTATTTGTGGAGAGGTTTGTTCCATGAATTTGAAGACTTTGTGTTAACTTCAATAGCTAATTCATTTATGATGAAACATATCTTCCAAAATGTTGTAGGTCCTTCGCTTGCGGTTGCTTGGTGACCATAATCATTCAACCCGCATAGCCTTTGTTGAGTTCGTAATGGTATGTTGAACCCACCTTGAGATTTCAAGTTTCAAATGCCTGGTTTTTGAAATATATGTGATCCTTTTTTATTTTTCTTCTTTGCACCACTCAATGTTTCCTCTCATCATGCTTATTCTTATAACTACCATTTTGTCTGTTTATTTCTGTGTGTTGGACTATAGTTACTATACAACAATCAAACGAACCGTAATATGAAATCGATGGGATTTTTGTTAGACTTTGACGCGTTTAGATATTTTTCTTCAAAATATCCTATGTGAGTATAGCTCATTCATTTCTCAATGTTTCTCTCAATATTTCTTATAACATTGTCTTCATTGAAACATACTACTAGTAATTGCTCTTTTGGGTACTCCATTTTGGTAAGGGACGTTTTTCTAGACTAAATAAAGAATATAGTACTCCGTATGAAAAAATGAATGGTGTCCGATTCACAAACCCGGTAGTGTGTGAATGGCTAGTGTTGTCGGGTGCACACCAATACATATGCAGTACATCCGCGAGTTTGAGTTGGTTTTTTTGGGGGTAATTTTATCAATGCAGTTGCTTGTGTTTTGGTTGTCTTTGAATCTGTGGTCTCTTGAAAACAGTCTCTCTACTTTCAAGTAAGTAGGGTCTTTCAAGTAGGGTAATATCTCTCCCCATGCCTTACTTTTTGTGGGATTTTATTGGGTTGGTTGTTGTTGTTGCTGCTGCTGCTTACTGACTATGTTTTAATCGCTTATGGTTTTTTTTATCAACATACGATATATAAGAACTGAATGGTTCTCAAAAATCATGTCAGATGATGATTTGATAACAACTTATATGTGTGACAAAAACATACTCCTTTATCTCAAATTGTGTCACCTTTTTCACCATTCTCCTCTTTGATCAAGTTTTTTTTTATTGCTTGTATCGGGTAGGCTGACAGTGCAATTGCTGCTTTGAACTGTAGCGGTGCAGTCCTGGGAACACTTCCTATCAGGTATACTCTCTGAATCCCCCCCTCATTCTTCATTTGTAGAAGAAAACCTTTCAATGGATGTTGATTATCCATGGTTCTTATGTCTAAGTAAGACTTAACTTTGGTTCACCCCAAATGTAACCCCAACTCTCCAGACATTTATAGACACTGAAGTGTCTATAAACGTCCGGAGTGAGAGTTGGGATTACAAATAGAGTGCCCCTAGCATATGATCCTTTTTAAAATTCTGTCATGTGTTTTTTTTTTTTTGAATTTCAGGGTAAGTCCATCAAAGACACCCGTTCGACCACGCGCTCCCCGTTCTGCTGGAATGCATTGATCTACTACATATATATCCATATATACCTACGTATCTCATCCTCGTCACTGCGTTTGAAGCATTCATGGCTACTGGAGCTGTTCTCTTTTTCTCTTGCTTTATATATATATATATATATATATATATATATATATATATATATATATATATATACATACATACATACATACATATATATATAAATGTGCACATAGATACGCTGCAGCCCCTATATATGTTACGATTATCCCGGCTTTAAGTGACAACTGTGAAGGTGGGATATGATCCATTAGAGGTTTTTGAGTTGTCATGAGGGAGGTTTATTTCTGGTGATGGTTATATTTATATATATGTTTAAACTCTCTGGGCAATGTGCATCAAAAAGTACTGATGATGAGTGATGCCTGTCACTCTTTATATATATTTCTTGACATTATATATCTTTTTACTCATTTGAACTTATTCTGTTTTTCCCCATTAAAGTCAATGCCACTTTCTGTTTGTTGTCAAGTGCTTCCATCCCTTTTGAAGCAAAGAATTTTGTTCTTTTTTTATATATAGAGATTCTTTCACTATGTTTTGTTAAATTTCATAAAAATAGAAGCACAAAAACCCATTGGCTTTTTTTTTTTTTTGCATTTCACAATTCACATTATTACATTACAGGATTACACATACATACTCATACATATTAATGGAAAGTCACAAAGAAGATACAGTTCTCACTTGATCTCGACATCAATGACCTTCTTCTCCACCTTGACCTTGGGGACCGAGATCAGAAGAACTCCGTTCTTCAACTCAGCCTTCACCTTGCCGGTGTCGCAGTTTTCCGGCAGCCGGAACCGGGTGTCGTAGGAGCTGTAACTCTTCGACCACCACGAGTCGCCGTCTTTGCCGCCGTCTTCGTCTCCCTTCTTGTGCTCCCCTTTGATGACCAGCAGGTCGTCTTCCACGGAGACCCTGACCTCCTCCTTGGACAGCCCCGGCATGTCTATTCGCAGCTTGACCTCTTGCTCCTCGTCCCTGATTTCCCATGGGGCCCGCACTTCTCCTGTCGCCCTGTTTCTTCCGACCGCCGGGAATGACAACCCGTCCTCGAATATCCTGTCCATTGTGTCCAGCATTTGGCGCATTGTCCTCATCGGAGAGAGTGGGTCTAGAAGCCCTTTGTATAACAACAACATTACCGATGTGTTAGAATGAGAAATCGGGCTGAAATAATAAAAAAAAGATTTGACCGGAAAAGCAGGGGACTTACCGAAAGGGGAGGCGTCAAGGGCGGCAGGGCGACGGCGAGGCCGATGCTCAACCGCGCGGGTGTTGTCACCACTGCTGGTGACGTGATGGACATCGACGGCGGTGTCTTGGGTGTGATCACCGGCGGCGGAGGACTGGGCTCTGAGCTTCAACGGCCTTCTAACGCCGTGGGAAGATGGGACGGAAGCAGAGCAGGGGCGGAACGTGAGCCGACGGGGAGTGTTATTTGAAACAGAGGGGTTGGAAACGAGAGGAGGAACAGAGCAAAGCAGAGCATTGGCAGCCATTGATAATAATCTGATTGTTATTAATTGGGAGGAAACTTCGTGGGATTATGAAGATTTGGAAGGATCAGCAGCTTACGACTGGGGAGGGGAAAGTGGTCTGTGTGGGGATTTATAGGAAGGGGGAGAGAAGATTGGAGAAAATTCTTGAAGGTTGGAGAAGAAAGATGAAGGAGTAAAAAAGAGCCCAATATCTACACCCTCCCTTTCCATCTATTATCATGTATTGTTGATTTTTGCAATGTGGACTCAGAGATCTCATCGAATTGGACTCGGGCCTCCTTTCATAATCGGGCTCAAAATATAGGAAAATGTTCTTTTGTGTCAAAGTAAAGTTTATTGTCCTGGTCCAACAGTTATCTTTCCGATCGCATTACGATATTTGACTAAATTTATTTTTTAAATCATTTTATTTAAGAAATAGTGAATAATATAAAAATAAAAATTATATATATAAAAAACTACATTATAAGCTTTGCAAAGCTAAAAATGACATAACTATATTATTTTATCAATTGGACAATGACAATAAACCAACAAAGTGATTACACCATTTAAATAGTGAATGCAGTGATTAGACGGAGAGTAGTTATAATTCCCACCGATCTTATAAATAATTTCTATTTAGACTTTTTTTGGTTAAAAAACAATACTTTTTATCATAAATTACGAGCAATGTATATTAAATTATAATATAAATTCAATATAGTTGTGTTTATTATAAGATATAATATAGATATAATATTTTTTAAAACATTTGTTTATTTATGTATGTTTAATTTATAGTAAAATAATGTCACTATTTGACTAAAAATTTAAATCATGAAGATTTTTTAAGACTCGATAGAGTATTGTATATAATATTGAGTGAAACTACTTTTAAACAATTTTATTAGAACATCAATATAGAATAATAAAATAATTTTTTTTATATTTAAAAATAAAAAAAGACTAAGTTATACGAGTACCCTGTATTACTTTACCAAGTAACGACTCCACTGGTCTCATTAAAGTTTTCTTAGCTTTTATTTTTTTGTTAAAAAAAACTTCTTTTATTTCGAATACTTTTATTAAACTTCGCAAATATCAATGTGAGAAGTATTTTATGCGAAGTAGAAAATAGTTAAATTTAGCTTGATGAAAAAAAGTAAAAATCAACAAGAGAGAAAAAAAAGTGAAACAAGGACTAAAGGAATGTTGAGAGTGGGATTTGAACCCACGCCCTTTCGGACCAGAACCTTAATCTGGCGCCTTAGACCAACTCGGCCATCTCAACCTGTTGTTATTTCCAGAGCTACTGTAGTACAACAATCAAGACTCAAGAGCAATACATATGCCCCATAGCCCCCTACAATCACATCCGCAGCCGTACTGCTATCAGAAAAAATCTAGCAGGGGGGCCGACAAAGATACTGATAAGACCATCAAGAAATAGAAAAGAAAAGAAAAGACATCTCCTTCACGAAAAACCCACTCCTCTCCATTACACCACCACATACAGACAACTCACAATATGCTTTGTTTTAACTTTACAATTCGCGTTAAACTTAGATTAGACACGACAATCCAAAACAGAGAAGCCGTTATGTATGAACAGTGCACCTAATACTGTCTCCATAATAGCTCCCATTAATTAATCTTCTTTTCAACTTCTTCTTGTTTTTCCATTTATGATAGGTTCCAAAAGAATAAGTTATTCACATTATGAATAAATTTATGATATAGGTGTCAAAAGAACCCAAGTAATATGTGTTTACCAACTTGCAAAGGTCAAGAGCAAAATTGTAAGTACCAAAGAACCCCTTTTGCATTTCACTTGTGCAGAAACCAAAATGAACCCACAGAACAAAGGGACAAAAACAAGAAAAAAAAAAACACCCCTAGTGAATTTATTACTATTCCCCCCGTTAAACTATAGAAGCCACCGGAATGGGAGCATATCTGGACAAGGAGGCGCGTGGGGAAGAGCCGTGGGGCTGTTACAGACGCTGCCATCGGACTGAGAGAACGGAGTGGCGGCCTTCTGCTGCAGAACGCCGGACGGGGAGGAGACACTACTGTTCCCAGCCTGGCTGATCGAGTCCCCGTCAACGTGGTGGTGGTTGCTTGGTATCAGAGCCTCCGCCAACGGCCCTCCAGATTCAAATGGGGCCCACATTGGAACGGCCGACTTCCACGTTCCGTTGCAATGAACGGGACTGTCGTTTCCGACTGATCCAGCCGCCATTGAGGCATCGAAATAACTGCCACTGTTGTGGTGGTGGTGATGATCATTGGAGTCAAACTGGAAAAACCCAATCTCGTCTCTTCTTCTACAGAGCGGAGATGATAATGTATCAAAAGCCGGTCTTGTGTTTGTTCTTGATTCCATTAATAAGTGTTGCCATTGTTCCTCAGCTCCCCCCATGGCAACCATCTCCCCTTCCATCATCATCCAGTCAAAACTCCTTTATTATAATAATAATAAAAATAAATCATTAGAGAATAAAGATGGTCAAAAGGTAATTAATGATATGCTTTTTTATCTCAAGGTTCTACCCACAACATTCACACCTTTAAGGCAAAATCTGCATAAATTAGAACTTCATTTGGGAATAGATGAAGTAATTTGTAACATCAAAAAATTATCAAAAAATTTAACACTGATTGCAATCTTCCATCATTGTCCATAGAGTCAAAGATTCTCTATTTCTTGGCTTTGAGATATAATGGACTAAAACAAATGACTTTTTATATTGTTTGTGCTTCTCTTGAAATGTTGAAATAATGGTTAGTCAATGCAACTTTATGTATTATCTGAAAAAAGTCTCTCTATATTTTGAAAATATAAGAGTCAGGCTTCATACTTCCAACCCCCTTACCAAACAATGGGCAATAACCTTTGAGACATATGGTAATGTACTAATGTTGTTTTTGTTGTTTGTTAAAGCTAATTTCAAATGTTATTCACAAGGCAACCCCGTCGTAGATGCCAAAAAAAGGCCTAAATTGAGCTCAAACTAGGTCTATGTGTATATGGTTCGTTTGCCAATCCGTAGATGGACCGGCCGAGCCATCAAGAATGTCATGTGGATTTTGCAAAAGAGGAGGGGAAACCAGACAAACCTATTTGGTTCCTTAAAATGGGAGATGGAGAGCTTATGCTCCAATTTAGCATCATCAAGCGACCGGGGTTGAGATCCAAGAATTAGGTTGGAAGAAGAAGGCGATTCCGTAGATTGAACTGGAAGCGGCGGTTGGACGCCGCGGTTCTTCTTGGCGGCGTTGATGGAGGCGGCGGAGTGATGAGGATGATGGTGAGGGTCTTCCACAGGCTTTCTTGAACGTGGGCGGCCTCGGTGCAGATGCCGCTCGCAGTACTTCTGGTTCGGCGCCACCTCTTTGGCGCACCTCCATTTCTTCCCGTCTGTTCTCTTGCACCTCCCTGGCTCTAAATCTCTGTTCTTTCCCCCACCTGCGAAAATTTTAATCGGATCAGAGAAATCCCAAATCGGTTTTTTCCGCGCCTGAGAACGAATCGGATTTCCATCCCCAACCCAAGAAAGAACCGTGGGTAAAGAATTGTCAGAAGCTCTTACGCTGGACAGGGGCGGTGTTGGATGCAGGGTAAGTGTTCGATGAAATGGCTAAGAGAAGATCAGGAGGAACAGGGACGGATGCCATCATGTACTTATAAACCATGGCCTGTCTCTCCAGTTCCTTCCACTGCGCCCATGTAAACGGAAACCCCATGGCCGTCGCCATTCCTCCGCCTGCACGAAGAACAAAAAAATCTCAGCTTTATTATATTATCAGAAAACCAAGGGGAGGGAGCTTGCAGAAACTTACCTTGAGATTTAAACGGGAGGGGAGAACTATTGGAACAGTGATGCTGAAAAGGGTGCGAAATCCGCACCACCACAGCGCCGCCGCTGTCTACGGAATGACGACCCATCGCCTCATCCAGCCCGAAACTGCCACCAAAAACAGAATTTCCAATTCCGGCGGCACCGCTACCTGGCGCCGCCTCCTTGTCGGAAAAGGCATACCCGCTAATAGCACCGTTTTCCATGAAAATGAACCAAAAGATTCAAAACCCCGGCTTTTTTTCTTCTTCCCTAATCTATGAGTAACAGGAAAGCAACAAAGAAAGAGGCTTTAAAAGTAACCTTGTTTCCTGAGCTTTGTTCTTTCCAGGGTGGGTGGGTGGGGTGGGTATCTTTCTCTTTTTTTTGGAGGGGGTGGGGGGAAGGGTAAATTGGGAAATTGGATTTAGAAATGTTTTGCCGCCATTGTCGACCTTTGGTGTGCCTCCATGCTTCCAACATTCGCACCGTTGTTTATAGACAGGGGGGGGTGCGTTGTAATAATAATGCAATAAACTTTCTTGAATTTCTCTCTCATATTATTTGCCAATATGTATGTATCGTTTTCTGGGTGATAAATCATGACTTTGGGTACTAATGCCCCACCCCCATTGCATTATTTTATTCAAATTTGCATCTCCATCTTACAAAATTATTGCCCCCACTAAAAGTCAACCTCTTGGGTTCCATTTCCATAATATGATGGGATGGATTTAGTTTGATTTGATTTTATTTATATTTAAATTTATTTCTAATTTGTTGATTCGGATCTAATATAATCTATTTTAATAAGAACAAACAGTAAGTTGGAAAAATAATTTGAACTGAATGCAGCTATCTCCTTCACAATTAAGAGATGGTTATATTCATGGGCGGAACTAGGTATAAGCTAATGGGGGCAAATGGGCAATAAATAAATTTCAAAATTTGCTATAGTAGTACCCTAATTTTTCTTTAAAAGAAAGTTATGCCCATAATAAAAATAAATTCTAAGTAAAAAAAATTAAATATCTACCATTAAAAATAAAATACTCCGTATTTAAAATTTAATTGAGTCAAAATTTAAAATTATTTAGAGCAAATAAAATTATAGGAAATATTTTTTAGATTTTTCACTAATTATTTGAATGCGTTATTGAGTGAAAATAATATTTTTTTTGTAAGATCACATTGCTATTTTGAAGAAAAAACAGAAGTGCTTCCATCAAATCCCCATAGTAGTCTCGCCCCCCGTCCTTGCGATTCATAGATCCGCCACTGGTTATATTGTGACTTTTGTTCTACATTAAAAATTAAATGAATATGTTTCCTCTAAACAATGTTCATCAAATTTGCACCACATATTTGATACTCTCTCGTCCCTAAAAATTTTTCTTTTTTAAATCCATCCCAAAAAACTTTCTCATTTACTACGTATATTAAAAAAATATTTTTACAATTTTACCCCTACAAATTTTAATTTATCTACCACATCATACTTTTTCACTATTAATCACATCTTACTTTATTCATTACATTTAAAAATATTTTTAAAAATTCAACACCAAAATATATTTTCTTTAAATCCTTTAAAAATCACAAACAAAAAGATTTTGTGGGATGGATGAATATTTTTCTTACCTAACAAATAAAACCTGTTATTATCACAAATAATACCCGAACAATATATTTCTTTGTATGCGATTGCGATACAAACATTTTTTTATATTCACACTATTTCATTTAGTATTTATTAGAATGATATAGTCTTGGTTTTTATTAATATTTGACGTAATATTTAAATGTACACAGAATATAGTTATTGTTTAAAAGTATGAGTATATTTTAATTAAAGAAAGTGAAATAAAAATGAATCCATTAAAGTATACTTCCTCCGTCCGTAAATAGATTGCAATTTTTTTTCTCTCCTCTCGATAACTTTTGTTTGTTTACGCAATTTAATTAAGTATTTGATAAAATAAAATATTCTTGTCACTTATTGTTTTGTAGAACTTTTAACGTAGTTTTTTAATATGTAATTTATATATATTATTAATATACCAATTTGTAAATAAAATAATTTTAAAAAGTATAAAATTTTATTCCATAACCTACAATTTGTAATCAAATTAGAGAATGAGAGAGTAATATTGGAAAGGAGGGAGTATTAAAATATTTGGTATGGGAAAAAACGAAAAAAGGGCCATGCAGATGCACCTGTACAAGTTTTATCGATAAAAGAAAAGCGTAAATATGAATTGCATTGATATTGAGATAAGCTTAAACCATGCAATGCAAGTACCCCTCTCGGCCGGGGAGTGTGGGCCCCATTCCTCAATCATTCATTCGCTGAACAGACGGCTGATCAATTTTAAAAGAAGGTACACTAAAATATTCACAAAAGAGGGTACTTCAAAATGGTTTAGAGGCTACACCCATAAAAAATGTTAGCAAATAAATATATTTTGGATTATCATTTTGTGTCAGTGTAAACTATTATACTAGTTTAGTATCACACTGACACAAAATAAAGGTACATACTTTACTTGGATACAAATTTTGATTTGCAAATAGCTTAATTATAGTATGTTAAAAAAACAAAAATCTAATTTATAAAAAATAATCTCCTTAGATTTGAATAAAACATAATTAAAATACTAAAATTGAAGTCATCTAGTTTATAGTCTATTATCTTCATCTTATTTTTATTAATTACAATCAAATTATATTAATTCATAAATAACTTTAAGTATACGTTCATTTAGATTGTTTCAAGCTAGATTAGACCAAAATTTGTTTCAATCAAATAGGGTAAAGAGAACAATCTCTTAATTCCCTGAATAAGAGTGTAATACCAACGTGATGATAGTCTGATATGACAATATGGTCAGTCAACCATTGGTGTGCCACCGGTCAATGTCGGTGACTTGTGAGGCACTCCGGTGAACAGTGGTGGCGAAGACATCATTGTAGTGATAGCGTGGAAGTGAAATAATGTTATGAGTGTGACAATGTAAAAATGACAATTTTAAAAGACTTAAGACTCTTATTTTGCTCCTTTCATATTTTTTACTCGCGTCTAGAAAATATAAAATATAGATTTTAGTTTTCAAATATCAAATTTTTATAAAATATATCTATATATAAATATTGATATAAATGATCATAATGCAATATTAGAGACTGTAAAAGATCAAATGGAAAGAATATTTTCACATAGAGGGAGTATTATAATTAAATTTGTGTTTATTTTAAGGTTAGAGGTGAGGTAATATGTGCATTTCTCCAAATAGCCATTAATTTTAACGGCCTTGGTGGACCTACCGTGGCCAGATAAAAATGGGCACTATATCGTTTTCTAAGACATATACAGTCATGGTTCCCAGCAATATGGATATTTTCCTCCAAAACAAGAATATAATTTTCCAAATTCAGGGTTTTATTTTTATTCAACTTGAATAAAAGAATTTATGCGTACAATTATTTTCTAACTTTTATAAATTTTAAATTGTACGCTTTAATTTTTTAAAACCAGATAAGGTGAAAATATGTTATAAATCTTGAGGTCAAATAACATAAATATAGTTCTCCCAAATTGAACATCACATATTAAAATTCGAGTAGAGACATTAACTTTTTGTATTTTACTCCGTAATATTCTGAAAAATATTTACTTCTCTGTCTCTAAAAAATGGCCTGGCTACTTTTTCGGATTTTGGATAATCTTTGCTTGTGTGCGCTTTTTAATATCCACTTTATTTCATATCTTTCTTACAATTTAATTTTTCACGATCTACAATGTAACACTTTGAGTACGAATATCTCTATATTTATATTCCATTCGTTCTAAAATATTTGCAACATTTACTTTTTCAGTAATTACGTGAACTTTTGTTTATTTCTATGTTTTCATTGGTTATTTGATAAAATAAAATATTTTTGACACCTCTTATTTCGAAAAACTTTTCATGTAGTTTTTTTATATGTAAATTTTATTTTTTATTTCTATACTATTATGTAAATAAAATGAATTTAAAAAATTTAATATTTTACCTCAGAACTACAAGTGTGACAAATATTTAGAAACGGAGGAAGTATAAATATAGATTTTAAAAATATGATATTCTAAAAGTACATTTCAGAATGAATCTATTAATATTAAATTTATATCATAATTTAAATTATTTTTTGAGTAATTTATAATCACAAGGGAGAAAGTGGGGTAGTAGTGGGAGCGTGATAGTGAGATGAAAAGTAGAAAGCATTAATGGGGATGGAGAAAATTACAGGGGGTAAAGACAGCTGTATTTTCTTCTTTCCTTTTTTTTTATTGATTTTATTTATAGGAATAAGATGGTCTGTCTCCATCCAGCCCATAGAAGTACAGAACCAGACAAAAATTCTGTCCAAATGACACTTTCACCCCTCTTCTTTTTTGTTACATGATCATTTATTTAGAGCATTGAATTTGTTAGGGGCATAGTTTTAAAAACCGGACCGGGGACCGAACCGGTCCAGGTACTGGTTCATTGGTTTACTGGTCGAACCAGTGGTTCAAGTGGTCGAACCAGTGGTTTAAACATAGAATTTAGTGATATATATATATATATATTTAGTGGTTTAAACATATATATATATATATATATATATATATATATATATATATACACACACACACATATATACATACATATATATACACGTATTTTGTATAAAATCAAAATAACTTCTTTCATATGTACATAAAATTTAGTGATATTTGATTAAAATTTTAATCATTCTAAATTATTTTGTTAGTCAATTTATATTTAAAATAAAATTTACGTATCGAGAAATACATTAAGACGAGAAACGGACCAAAAAATGTTTGGAATCGGAACCGGAACCACAAACGGACCTTTAAGACGAGTAGGGAGAACTAGAATCGGAACATTTCGGGGCGATACTGGTTCCGGTTTTGGATTTGGAGTACCAGAACATATTTCATTTTATTTTTTAGTTACTCCGTATTTTACAATTAACAACTATATCTAGATACATACTCCGTATCTTTTTTTTTTGTACCGAAATTATAATTTAACAAAAATAAAAAATAAAAATGTTCCAAGCATGTTAAGGAGGGACCGAAATCGGTTTTGGTACTGCATCTGATACGAGAACTCAAAAGTATAAATCTCGGGTTCCAGTTATGTCTAAGCAGGTATGCATACCACGCAGAACTAGTTCTTTTTATTAAAATTTTAAAGTTAGACGTAGGGAAAATCTGAAAGAAAATAGAAGTAATTAAAAAATGATAGAAAAATAAAGTGTTAAAAAATCACTAAATTATATTATCACCCAAAGTAATTTTGAGTGATTTTTTTTTATTTTTATTTGTTTTGAGGTGGTATGTTATAAAATTAGATATATGATTTATTGTATATTCATTATATATATGTAAATGATTTTTTTAATTCGTTGTAGGAAGGAGCTGGAAGAAATTAAAACTAAGAGTTTGAAAGAAGAGGAGGGTAAGCCCCAACTCCAATGTCTCCCTCAGAATCGATCAGACAGTCATTTGAGAGGAAACAAATTAAGTCTTAATGACTTAATCACAAATTAGCTGTCAAAAAGTACGTGGGGCTTGGATCTTATACTTACAAGTTACAAACGTCCTATGTTCATTATTATTGTCTCTCAGCGCAAATGCAAGAAACTAAGTTCAAGATTTATCCCCTTTCAATAAAGTAACACTAAGTTCGATAAAAGTGCATCCGATGAGCATATAGGCTTCTACTAATGAAGTCTTGAGAGTTCACCTTCAACAAGAGTTGACCATCAAGGGAGGCTAATGAATGTTTCTTAAGAACGACTATTTGGATGGCGAGAATTTGGTGAAAAAGAAAAATTAGAAAAAAAAAATTAATATCACAATGTGTTTTGCTCATTGAAGAGAAAATAGAGTAAGAAAATGGATAAAATAGAAGAGAAATGATTACTTATTTTATATTTACAACTATGCATTATTATATTATTATATTACCCTGTATCACATAAGAATAAAATAGTCATTTTTACATTATCAAAAGTACTCTTCTTCTACTTTTCTCCCCAACCAAACAAAGGAAAGAAAACATCTTTTTTCAATTTCATCCTCATTTTCTTATCAAACAAACAACATACTTTTTTTCTATTTATTCTCTTCATTTTATTTTGACCCATTTTCTTTCCACGCATTTTCTCTTCTTATCCAAACAAACTATTAGATTGTCGTTAACATTACCAATGGCGGAGCCACATGGGTGCAATTGACTGCAATTGTTGTCACTCTCTTTCTAAAACATATAACATAGATATATCTATGGAGTATAAGCAAACCTAAAAAAAAAGCACAGGGGAGGGGGGAAACACAGAACAAGGCAGCAGAGAGGAGAAAGAAGAATAGAAATACCTCGTAATTAAGATCATCATTTCACAAAATGAGGAGAGGAGTAGAGGAGATTCGTTCCAAAATAAATTTTTTATTCTAGGTTTTTTATTTGCCTACCAATTAAGCAATGAGTGATCCATTACTTCATTTGTCGTAAACACGCCCACATCAAAACTAGTAAAAATGAATCCCCACTCTCAAAACTTTCATCCTAACTTTTCTTTACACCATCTTTTATTCCTTTCGTCTCAATGTATTTGTCCGTGTGCTAAATAAAAAAGACAAATGGACAGTGGATGAAAATTAACAAAAAATATTCTTATTCTATAGTTAGTGGGTAGCTTTCAATCAAATAAGATGTTGGTTTGATGATCATTGTGACGTTTGTTTCGCCAATGAAAAGTAAACAAATGTATCAAGATGTTATACAAAAAAACCGAACAAATATATCAAGATATGAAGAGTATTTTGATTATTTTTTTACATGAACCATTGTGAAAAGTAAACGAATAATTTGAGACGTTATAAAAACAAAAACCGGACAAATATATCAAGATATAAAGAGTATTTTGATTATTATTTATAAAACGATTTGGATTAGTTTTGTAAAGGGATAGAACTAAAATATTTCGGAGTATTTTTCAAAGAATAAATGCGATATCCTAAATTAACATGATGTGGGGTGGAGTAGTAAATAAGAGGAAATAGCCATTATTGTTTTTGGTCGTCCATTACATCAAATGAATGGGTTTAGGCCATGAATTGGGACCATCCCCAACTCAACCGACTGCCTGTACTTACACAGACGGCCCTTCACCCCCATCAAAATAATTTGTGTTTGGCTGTAAAATTTTAACAAAAAAAAATTACGGAAACCCCACGTTTGACACTATATTTGACACCGTAGTGTCCTACGAGTACAAAAAATTAACTGTCGAACGTTTTATACGAGAACTGTCTGTATTGTGTGTGTTTGTGAAACACTAATGTCAAATGGGAGGTTGGAAAGTTAATTAACAGGTGTGTTTCAGGCCATGATGTAACATGATTACAAAAACAAAAACATGGGACACAAAGCAACTCAGCCTGGGCATATGATTGTTCCCAGATTCCCAGGCTACCACCTCCCAGGAAACACACACATTTTGTTCCACACATGTTCATTCATCTCAAGTGGTAGTGGTGGTGGATGGGTGTACTGTACCTTTTTACTGCAGTTTTTACCTGTAAAAAAAAGAGAAGAGCATAAAAGCTTTATTAGTTTTTTACCCAATGAGAATGTGAATGAATTGGAGCTGGTCCCCATGTCACAATATGTTCAACAATGATGCTTTATGTAGAGGCATTTGGGTGCTGCTACAATTTGGGAGACAGCCTAGTGGAATCATAGGTGTGAAGAAAACAACATGTGAGACATTGCACGTGTTTGAGGAGTGGGTTGGGCGTCGAAGAATCAATTCTATTGTCAATTATAAGGCTTTTTACAGTTTTTGAAAAAAAATGACCAAGTATCAGTTCCAAAAAAAAAAAATTACTCACACTTCCATTAGAGGACGGATAAAATATTTCTTAATTACTTTATTTTCAATTTAGTGATTAAGATGTGATTCCAAGATTTCTTTTTAATTGAACAACTTTTAATTATGTAGGTGTATTTTCTAAGTTTTTAACAATTTTTTTAACACTTTGTGAAACTCAACCGAATAAAGTTCTTAAGATTTGCTATAGATAGTAGATTCCGAAACTCTAAGGGTCACTTTGGAAACTAGAAAAATCATTTTAGGAAAATGACTCCAAAAAATGAGAAATTCCAAGATGCATCATTATCAAGTCAACAACAACAACAACCCAGTTAAATCCCACAAGAGTAGGGTCTGGGGAGGGTGTGTGTACGCAGACCTTGCCCGTACTCGAAAGTAGAGAGGCTGTTTCCAAAGAGACCCCCGACTCAACGTCGAAAGTTGCATTGCTTGACTAACTGCTACTTCATTAATTAAAGAAGCGCAAATAATTTAGATATCCATTTTGATTTATTCCATCACACCCCAAAGCCAAAAACAGGTGAAATTTTGGCTCCATCGGAGATGATGGAAAAATCATTATCAAGTCAATAACACTAAAAAATCATTGGAACCATGCTGATCAAATGGCCATCTAAGCCAAAGAGTAATAAAGCAAGCAAGTAGAGAAACCGGATCCCAACACAAATGGCACACAAAGTTGAAACCTAGTGCTCCAATTTAGTTTCCGCAGTGGAAACACCGAAACACCACACTCGTGTCAATGCACAACGTAATAATCACTGAGAATAACAGAAATCTGGGTTCCTATTTGTACAAATGATTTTGTGATTAGATGCTTCGAGAAAAGAAAAGAAGAAGAAGCAATGTTCGAACTTTGAAATGCTCTGCGTTATGCTTCCTACCAGGTAGTATTAGCCAGCACTTGCAATGGGATTACTACTATGATTGGGATCTTCCTCTCTTTGTCTTGCAAGAATCAGCTTCAAGAATGACCAATCTGTAGTTCAAACTACCAACCATAGCACTATCAAAGTAAACAATTAGATCAGGGGGTGTTTCACCTTATCCATGAGCAATAGCTCACTTAGTAACTTCAAATTAGATCAGGGGGTGTTTCCTCTCTTTGTTTGAGTTACGATGCCCCCTAACAAATGTTGCTTAAATCTTGTAATCCCGCCTCTACTTATATGGCCACAAAGTTTGCACACCTAGTCATTCTTTCAATTTGGAATCAACTTTGTGCATCTTTTTATCATCTCCAGTTGAGCCAAAGATTCACTATTTTTTAGCTTAGTGGTATGGAGTAAAACAAAATAGCTCTTTAAACGGTATGCACTTCTGAAGTAGCAATTAGTCAAAGCAATTTTTGACGCTCATCACGAGTCATCCGGAAACAGCCGCTATATGTTTTCCACATAAGGCTAAGACTGCGTACATGATTACTTGTGGTGCTTGAGTCGGGGAATTCTTTCGAAACAACCTCTATAGTTTCGAGTAGGGGTAAGATCGGCATACACACACCCTCCCTAGACCCTACTTTTGTGGGACCTGACTGGGTTGTTGTTGTTGAAATGAGCTTGGTGCAGTGTTCCCAGGCCAGACTGCCAGAGTAAATGACATTTTTTAAAAAAACACTAATGCAGGAACGCAAAGAAGTAATTGGGGGCTTATTACTTACAGTGCCTAAGAGGTCCATGAGGTCGCAAAGAAGGGCCGGTAGCAGAGAGGCAGAGTTGCAGTGTTCCCAGGGCAGAGTCGCGCGACACGCAACATTTATCCCTTATCAAGCCACGACTAGCAAAGAAGAAGAAAATTTGCAATGCCGAAGTTATGTGCGAAGAAGTTCAAAGGCAAAGAGCGACTGGGGAGAGTGAGAGATTATTGACCGATTGAGTATCGTCAATCTGAAATTAAGGTTTTTTTAAAATTGGGCCAAAATATTTCGGACCGGAAAACTTTGAGAGAAAAAAGGTCACAAATGGCGGTGGCACCGAAATGGTGTTGCCCCATGGATAAGCCTGAGTCTATCAAGAAGTTAAATAACACTTATTCCCTATGAGAGTTTCTCTTTGGTGGTGCATGTAAATATCAATTTCAATTTTTTGTAAGCAACCAAAGACAACCATAAGCAAAAAGGAAATAGATCCAAATGTGTGCCAAAACTTCCTAGAGAAAGCCATTTTCTTCATAAGGGAGTATGAGTATGTAATCATTTAGCAAACTTCTGAAGACCCCAGATTTTGTCAAGAAACTTTGCACTCACTTGAGATGAAACATCCAGAACTGTTCCAATGTCATGAAACGCCAAACAAAGAAAGATGCCTCCACCATGGAAAAATCATTACAAACACCCATGGGTTCATTGAAATCCATTAATCTCCACTAAGTAGAAACCTAAAACCTTAATAAGCATAGCAGCTAAATCCAGAGAAGGAGAAAACCTACCTATTCAGTAAAATCATAATGCTTTTCAGCATCAGTCTCCTTCAGTTTTTCCAGCGCAGAAATACGCCTATCAAAATATCTTTCGAATTGTTTAACCTGTCATCGGGCGAAGAGCAGTTCAGAGCCACGGGATTACATTTGCCAAACCAAACAATTTCAAAACTTTCGATATCTAATAAAGAAATAAAAATCCCGATGAAGAACAGAGGAAAATGTTAGATCCGTACCGTTTGGGTCGTGGAGCAGTGGTCTTCCTTTTCATCCCGTTGAAGGAGGTAAATTCTGGATAGAGACGCCGTTACGCCGCCGGCGAAGCACGACGTCCGCACTGCCTTATTCAGGTATCCGATCATCGCTGCCTTTCTGTTCTTCGGCTTTTGGATTCTGGATCCCCAAATTCGTCCAGGGAAAATACAAGAACTGTACTAATAAAATTCTTTAAAATAACACTTAAATTTCATAATGCAAGCGAAATACGTTATGATCTAATGATATCACAATGATTTTTCTATATGGGATGTCTCATGTTTGAACCATCGTGTGGCCGATAATTATTTATGTTTTACTAAACTAAAGTTGAAAATATATGAAGAAATACTGCATAGTAATAGAGTTTTAATATTTACAAAATCATTATGCGATTGAGAGTATTCTTTAGGCACAATGTCTGATCCATATTTAGGTAAATAGAGATAAATTGAACAATAAATTTATTTTTTAGATATAACATACTCCCTCTGTTTTTAAATATTTGCAATACTTGTATTCCCGAAGTAAAATATTAAGTTTTTTCAATCATTTTATTTACATATTGGTATAGAAATAAAAAATAAAATTTACATATCAAAAAACTGCATGAAAAGTTCTTCGAAATAAGAGGTGTCAAGAATATTTTATTTTATTAAATAACCAATGAAAATGTAAAAATAAACAAAAGTTTCTGCGACTGCAAAAAAAACAAAAGTTTTAAATATTTTGGAACGGAGGGAGTAATAAAAATACTAGTCTATAAAATTTACTTTGAAAAAAAATTGCTCATAATAAAAAGGAATAGTCGAAATTGTGTTAGATGATGTGATATACTTCCTCCGTCCTAGAGTATTTGTCCACTTTCATTTTTACACATCATCCAATGCACTTCTTTAATCCATTTTATCTTGTAATTTGTATATTAAAAAATTACATAAATTATATATTAATAATCTAAATGTTAAGACAAAACAAACAAGATCACAAATGACTATATTTAGACTTACACATTGAGAGAATTTGACGAGTCAAAGTGCTTAGATGAACAGTTCCAAAAGTTAAAAGTGGACAAAAACTGAGGGACGGAGGGAGTAATCACGTGACGACAAAAGTTCAAATTGTTGTACCAAATCAAATGAGCATGGATCCAATTTCAATGGCTTCTATAATTTGTCACGGTATAAATTTAAGCCGGAGTACTAATAAGGCACCTGTTTAATTATTAGCATCTTTGACCATACTAGTGCAACCCAAATTAGTATCTTTGACTTTCTCCCATCGAATATTGTTTTCGCCTTCTAATTCGTTGTTCCAAATTCCATTTTTATATATAAAAAAAGGTACTATATCCATCTCAAAAAATTCTTCTTCCATTTTTATTTTTTGTATCCCACAAAGTTTTTCCTTTTCAACTAAAAAATTAATTTTTTTCATACTACATATATTTTACCTATCATTTCATATTTTTTTACTAATAGTTTAAACATTATATTTTATTTTATTCGTCACATTAAAAGTATTTTTGAAAAGTCAACACAAAAAATATCTTTCCTTTAAATTTTTAAAAATCGAAATGAGAAAAATTTTATGGAACAAAAGAAGTACTTCTCCGTTCTCAAAAACACTTCCTCTTTCAATTTTTTCACTTCCAACAAAACACTTCCCCTTTCTATTAAAAAACCACTTTTACCCTTACTTTTTTTCATACCCTACCTATCACATCATACTTTTTCTCTAGTAATCAATCCATTACATCTTACTTTTACCCATCACATCAAGGGCAAAATTGGAAGTCAACTATAATTTTACACTTCCTTAATTTGCCTTATTTTCAAAGTGGGAAGAGTTTTCCCAAACGGAGGGAGTATTAGTTTGGCAATAAATCCTTTTGTACCACCATTTTCAAAAAAAATAAATTTAAAATAAAAAATTTTGTAAGGATGCTGATAATTATTACAGAGTACTTATTAGTCCACCAAAAAATAAGAATAGTACTCCGTAATTTAAATCATATGAACATGTACTCCTTATATGATAGATGAAGTCGTGTGCTATGAATACTCAAAACCTGACCCACTCTAGTAGGAAGGGTATGTTTCTGGGATTTTGTACGTTGCAAACGAAGGGGCATAGATGCCCCTCTAGTCAATTGGTGCCATATTCATTGATAGCTACCTATATTAGTGAAGTATTTCATATCACTTTTGACTTTCAGAAATTGTAAAATAATCATCTCTCTTTATCAGTCTCTTCGTCAAATGAATGTAAACATCATTAGTGTTAATGTTCTTGATCGTTGCAATAAGGACACCGATAGGATGTTGAGATCGTCCTCTGTCGGCATGTAAATCCACCGGTCAAGTTTTGACCATCAATTTTGTTAATGGAATATGTAATCGAAAAAGGGCACCAAATATATACTTTGACGGGTTAATGCAATTGATGGTCAAAAATGTATAAACAAACCAAAACTATTTAAAATTCTTAACTTTTAAGATTCTTAAGTTGATACCTTCAACACACAATGAATAAATAAAATCCGTTGAAGTCCAAAAAGTAAAGGATCATTAAGATATTTATAAATTCGTTTATTTCTTTTTTCATTACCAAATAAAGTTTTTTTTTTAATACCAAACATGATTGGGTTACCTACTCACGCACGTAGTAGATGAGATGAAGAAACGTGCACTATTTTGTTGTTTTTTCTTTCAAAGTAAAAATAATGTGCAAATGCCAAGTTCTACTGTTGCATAACACTAGTACTCCTAGTTAAGCATATAAGATTATATTTTAGTATAAATTAAATTTTTTTAGTCTTATTGAAATAGATTTTTTTTAAAGTCAAACTGAATTGAATATTATATTAATAATCATTAAATAAAAAGTACATTATATATAAGAGTAGTGCGCTATTGTAATCTTAAGATTCACATGTGAAATATAGATATTCTATAAAAAAAAATTCATTAACTCATAATTAGATCTCTTTCTTTTTTACAAGACTCATTACAGATAATAATAATATCTTCCAATTTGATTTTTTCCCGACCTATAAAATGAACATAAATCTGAGATCAACAAAAGAATTTACCTATATTATATTCATACAAAATTGTTGTCACTAGTTTCAACTTGCACAAATTAAAGAATTAGAAAACTTAATTCATAGTAGTACTCCATAATTTTTATTTAAACCGAAAAGATCTAAGATATGGACAATTTTAAGTTAATTAAATAAAAAAGGAAGAGGTAAAAAAAAAGAGTCAAGCCTTTGTCTTGAAGCAGGAAGTAGACGAGTGAGGGTCGTGGCGGGAGGTTTCCTTGTCGATCATCCGGCAGACGCGGCGGAACTCCTCCGCCCGGCAAGGGATAGTGACCGGACCGTCGTGATCGAAGCCGTACTCCTCCTCGGCTTCCTTGAGAAGAAGCAGGAACAAGTGGTGGTTCAAGTAAGCCACCGGGACCACAAACCGCTCCTGTTCCTCCTTCGCGCCGCCGCCCACCATCACGGCGACGAACCCTTTGGGCACCGCCGCCTGGTCGCTGCGGCGGAGCTGCTTCTCTCGGCCGCCCGTGCGGGAGCTCATCTGGTGGCGGTGTTTTGTGGGGGGGTTTAATTTCGACGATCAATTGGGAGAATAACAGACAAAGTTGTGGTTGGTTGTTTCGTGTAGCCTTTGGATTGGACATATATATACTCCTCCTTCCCTCTATTAAGTTTTTTCTTTTTCATTAATTTGTTCAAAAATCATTGTTTCCTTATTTAATTTTAGCTAGGAATATACGCCGCATGGTCTAAAAATATTTTTCTCTCTCTAAATGAATTATAGCAACTTAAATGATCCTTTCTTCAACATTTTTCCTTAATCTCCAATAAATCAAAGGTGAGAAAATAATTTGGAACGGATAGATTATTATATACGTACAAATGCTACTCCGATCCGTATATAAAATTACATTTTTAATACGAAAATAGCACTTTAATAGCCTTATAATACTCAAAATAGCAGTGCTATTAGTTTTTAGGATGAATTCCCGTTTTTATCCTTAAATAAACTCCCAAAATTAGAATTATACTGCAATGTATACTCTTCACTGCCACATTATAAATAAGTATGAAATTCTCTGCTCTTCATTGCCACAATATGTTTGAGATTGAATTTAGTGCCCTAATACATACAACACTGCCAAAACAAGAGCAGAATTCATTTTAAGTCGTGACCTTTTATTTTTTATGGTAATTATACACTGCAATATATACTCTCTACACTGCCACAATATGTACTTCCAAAAATTCAATGTCTGAAATACACTGCCACAATATGTATTTCCAAAAATTCAATGTCTGAAATACACTGCCACAATATATACACTGCCAAAAATTCAATGTCTGAAATATACTGCCACAATATATACACTGTCACAATATATCTACACTGCCACAAAACACAATAATTAAAACTAAAAATACAGTGATATCCGAATAAAAGGATGCAAGACAAAATTTTAACATTTAATCTTCACACTGCCCACACCATAACACCTAATCTTCACGCTGCCAAAATCACAATGCCTTTCAAAAGACCTAATTTTTCAAAAGGGACAAATACTTGGTATTTCAAAATTGATTTCACAACATACACCTAATCTTCAATACGAAGAAAACAAAATAATTAATACTAAAAATACAGGGAAATCCGAATAAAAGGATGAAGGACTGAAAATTAAAAATTAAAGGAGAAGAGAAAATGATTAGCGACATCAAAGATTAGCATGGGAGAGAACCTGATGATTGCCGTTGTTGATCGACCAAGGAATCGTGGGCGAAGGACTGAGGACGCATCATCGCCGGCGAACGGGAGGAGAGACCGTGGAGTTCAATAGCGTGCGGGAGAACGGAAGGAGAGATTGGAGTTGAATGCCATAATTTTTAATGAAAAAAAAAGAAAAAGGGGTAAAGGGTATGATAGGAAATGATTGACACCATAAATTGCTAAATTTGTTAAAAACAATGAGTAGTGCTAAATGCGTAATTTAGGGTGAGTTAGAGTACTATGTAGGGTGATTTCTTTTTACAAAATATAGTCTTCTGTTCGAAATTAATCTACTTATTTGACTTTTTTAAGTAAAAGATTTGTAACATTGACCTAGATATATCAAAAAAATATATTGTATTTCGATATATTATGGTCATGTTTAGGAATATCGTTAGAGATTAGCGTTAGACCCCGTTTGGTACATGGAATTCAAACGATGGAATTGGAATTGAGGACTTCAATTCCAATTCTGGTGTTTGGTATCACAAAAAAATTGTGGATTTAGAATTGATAGTACAAAAAATGAATCGGAATTGGTGAATTCAATTCTATGGAATTGATTTCTATAGAATTTCAATTCCAATTCCGTTCCAATTCTATCAATTCCATACACCAAACGGACCCTTAGTGTTTTGAAAAGACTATCTACAGCCAACGTTTAGCATTAGCGTCTTCAAAGTAATCTGTACCGTTAAAATTTTATTCAAAATGTAATGGTAATCTCTAACGCAATTCCCAAATAGACCCTATATCAATAGGGTAATTAACTTTTAGAAACATATTAAAGTTTTACTTAATATACTCCGTATTATGTATCTACCACAAAAAAGGGAAGAAATCTATTTATTGTTGCGGAGAGAACTATTGCGGGCACGTGAAAGCATACTTGGACGCACAGGTTAAGTCTCAAATTTGGCAATTACTCCGTATATTTTGGGAAAGAAGGATAATATGGAACCATTTGAAAGAGCGGAGCAAATTCTCAAAGATGTCCTATATATTGTAGGAATTGGCTAGGTTGGAGGTCAACAACCCTATAATTAAACCAATAAGGTTAGTGGACTTTGCGGAGTTAGCTTAGGCCAGCAGTATCTAACAACTGCACTGGGGAGCAACTATGTTATGTATAAACTTTCATAAATTTTATGTGCAGACTTCATTCTTTGTCACCAATTTACAACAAAGATCTAATTTACATTCTTTCTGTGATTATCTGGTTAGGTCGGAAGGAGCCACAAAGATGGGACTATGCTTTTTTTATAACAAGCATCATAAATCTTCCACCAACGCCGTTACAACGTATTTAGTCCTTACTTGTATGCTCAGTTTGAGTTGGTACGGAGATTAAGAAAATTTAATAAGTATAAAGATTTTTTCTATTTGCTCTTGATGTGTTAAGTGTATTTATTTATTCCGATTAGGCTCAGGTCACCCGTAAAAATCGGTCCGTAGTTGTGCACTACAAGGGTACCAAAAGGAGCAACACTCCAACCCAACCTCGCCACACTCCACTCACAAAGAAACGGAGAAGAATAGAGAGACCACACAGAGGAAGAGAAAACCCACAAGGAAGACTCACAAAGAGAAGAGGATTTTTGTACGGTGACCTGAGCCTAATCAGAATAAATAAATACACTTAACATGATGTAATGATATAAAATGAACACCCTACATAAAAAATAGGGGCAAATTCATTAAAATTTTGTTTCCAAAATAAGAATCAGGAAAGAAATTTTTTAGATGACCTAAAAAAGAAAGTGAGTAAAAATTAATGAGCTTTAAAAAGTTTACAATTTTTATTTTTCCTATCCCATTAGCTAGTGTACATTTCATCATTTTAAGAAATTGTAAAAGGTTTACAATTTCTATTTTTTCTGTCCCATTAATATAATTCCCCTATTTCTATTTTTTCTGTCCCATTAAAAACATGACTTCATCTTGGTTTTATATCTCAAAAGCGTGTTGTCACTCTTACCGATGAAATCATGGGTGGCCCGGAGGATGTACGTGCAAAGTGGACAACCGCACATGGCCTCTAAAATTTTAAGGCCCCATATTTTTAAATTCGGCATTAATTTTAAAGCATAAGTATTCTAAAAAAATAAAGTAGGGCCCAAAATGTAAATTTGAGACCATACCAATTTTATTTTTTATTTTTCAAGGCCGACCCTGGATGGAATAGAGCAAATTAAACATAATGATGCATAAAAACAATGAAGCACAAATATTTCAATTAGAGTCATTGTATTCAAAATGAGTGGCAACCAAATTTCGAAGGAAAATACTAGGGGTACACAAAAAGTGTACCCCAAACATCTTCCACCCCCTCCATCACCACACAAAAAAGGCAAGAAAAATTCAAAAAAAAGTAAAAAATAAAAACAAAATAAAGTGAATGATAAAGAGGAAGGTGTTGTACATTTGGGGTACACCTTTGGTGTACCCCTAGCATATCCAATTTCAAAACATAACAATTTTTTAATTAGAAAAGTGTCAAGACTCAAGAGTGGACACTCAAAATGAGAGCGGTGTTAAACTGTTAACAAAGAAAGTAGACCAAAAAACAACAAAATAGGAAGCCATTTCATAAAGTCATAAGACGCACCAACCACCTTTCCCACAATTCTCGCGCTCTCTCTCATTGCACACCATCCCAATCTTTTCTTCCTCCCCATCAAAATTTACCCGCCCTTTAGCTTCCCGTCGGCTGGGAGAAGAGGAGGGAAACAGTACCCCACCACCCTCCCCTCTCCCCCGCCGCCGCCGCCTTCTCCCCCGTTATGCCATTATTGTTATTATGCTTCCCACCTTGACGACAATGCCCAGAAGATCGTTGCTCCCTGTCATATACTCTTCCCGTCGCATCAACGGATAAACCGGCCGGCGACGGCAAGGCCGTTGCGGCCCCCCGCGCTCTGTCACCCACACCGTCATCGCCGCCATATCTATGAGAAAGTTCCCCTTCCCGACTCCTCCCGGCCGATCTCTTCATTTTTTCCCCAATGCGTCATCTCCTGGACCTTCCCCTCAGATCTCGCCGTCCCCGGTGCCGGCGTACGAAGGTGCAGTAACCGCCCGTCCGATTTACTTTTTCCCCTTCCTGCACATCGTCAAGGGTGGCTTCGATTTTGCCGCCGTCTCCTTGATCGGCTGTGTTCTGTTCTTGTCTTTCCTCTCCTTGTTCTTCATCATCCATCTCCGGCTCAAATCACGGCGGCTCCCCCACCTGCAGAACTTCAGCTCTCTCTGGACCGTCCGATTGCTTCTCGTCTTCTTCGCCATTTCATGGGCCTTCAACGAAGTCTTCCGCCAATTATTCATATTCCCCATTTTGACCCCGCTAACCCTAGCCCAACAAACCAGTCTCTGCAAGGCCCATGTGGTTCTCTCGCTGGGCCTGTTCGAACCGGGTTTCTTAGTAACCCTATTGTTCCTGGTCAATTTCTCTATCAAGAACAAAAACCCGACCCGAATGTGGGCATTGGTTGCGGTATCCGCGGTTTGTGCGCCGATTCTGTTGCTCCAGACGATCGTCGTCTTCTTCTCGCCGGCGTGGCTGCCGAAATTCTTCGTGCGGGGGAGCTCCGTCGTCTCGACGGACGCGATCGGGAACAAGGTCGTCCTCTGCACCTACCCGACGTTCAGTTTCATCATCTTCTCCGCCTTCGCCACCGCCTACTCCCTCACATTCCTGCTCTCGTGCTGGAAAGTGTTGGCGTTCGTGATCAACAAGACGATCGGCGGGCGGATCAACATGCTCGCCGTGTCGGTGATGGTAGCGCTGCCTATGCAAGTGCTCTGTCTCAGCGTGATGCCGGTGTCTCTGCCAGGTTACCTGCTTCACGACTGCGCCGTCTTCGCCATGTTGGCGGCTGTCTCGTGGTGCGTGGCGGTGGGGGAGGTCATTTTGGTAATCAAGCCGATCGCCGATGCGCTGTCCGCCGGCGGAGATTATTGCAGGCACACAAGTCCCGATTCGAGTGTTGACGATCGGCGGTGGGATGGATTATAGAGAAAATACTGGACGTGGATTGATAAGTTTGGTACATATTCAATTTGTACATATGTAACCCCCTGAACATATGGACTTATCATATTTTTTGGATTGATTTTATTATTAAATGTTTGATCAATTTACTGCTCCTTCACCATAAAATTCTTAAACATTGCGATTTTTTTGTCCTTTTTTGGAGATTACAATGGTTCACTGCGTTTGTTTTTAATTAAATTTGTTTAAATAATGGTAAAGCTTTAAAGTAAAATTTATAGATTAAGAAATTACATCACATAAATAAATCAAAAATAGAGAATTAGACTAATTAGAGAGATGTATATTATAGAGTAGATTGTTAATAAATAGAGTATTATGGAGTACGGAGTACTCCGTATATACTAGAACATTCATATCATCGTATCACTTCTAATTTTTAAATTAATCATATCATCTTTTAACTTAATAAACATATTGAGAGTGACTTCATGGGAAAAACTTTGAATAGTACTTCCTATTTTATTATGTACTCCCTCCGTCCTTAAGTGTTTGTCCACTTTTATTTTTGCACACCATCCAATGCACTTCTTTAATCCATTTTATCTTGTAATTTGTATATTAAAAAATTATAAAAATTATATATTAATAATCTATATGTTAAGACGAATCAAACAAGATCACACATGACTATTTTTAAGCTTACATATTGAGAGAATTTGATGAGTCAAAGTGCTTAGATGAACAGTTCCAAAAGTCAAAAGTGAACAAACACTCAAGGACGGACCAAGTAAGTGATATGTGATGAATCTTGTTTTTAATTGTCGAAGCTCTAGTTGCTAATTTTTTTTTTGTCGACTCATATTTACTAGTGAGGCATATATCAATTTCTAAACACTAGCTCCACGCCTCCATCCTTGCTTCATGTATACTTTATACTTTAGTTTATGAGAACATACAAATAGAGAAGATTAGCAATCATTTGATTTTGTTTAGTAGTAAGTTTTTAAATTTTATTTTTTCAAATAAAAAATTATTCTTTATCTAGTCATGTAAACTTAAGACATACTCCGTATTTCATACATTCTCTTGGAAGAGTTATTTTTTTTTTTTCAAAGGAAAAAGTTTATATTTGTATTTCACAATAATTAAGAAAACAGTTGAAAAAAATGAATGGTTAAAACTTAAAACTTGTTTTGGTAAAATATGAAACATAAAATAGTAGAAGGAAACATTTATTATTATTCTGGTTTTTCACCCATTTGCTTCTAAAATTAGCAAAAAGAAAAAGTGAATGGCTTTCTTCAAAGTTCCTTGCATCTTTTTTGATTCCTTCTTTGTACATAAATTTGATTTGGATTTCCACAAAATATGTTTAGAACAAAAAAACATTTTTACCATATACTCCATTACTTTTGGTCCAATGTATTCATTTCGCAAAAAATTACAATTACAAGTTTACCCTCTCATTCTCAAAATTTAGTAGTCTTTTTCATATTAAAGATGCAAGTGAAAATGTACTCATAAATTCCACAAGACAAGGGTAAATTTTAACTGTGCCATTGTAGTAACGTGCTTTGTGTTAATTTGGAAAACACTAACATTTTAACATCAAGACGGTTTGGCCGAGTGGTCTAAGGCGCCAGATTTAGGCTCTGGTCCGAAAGGGCGTGGGTTCAAATCCCACAGCCGTCATTTTCTTTTTATATTTTTTCCCATTCCTTTCCATTTTGGTCTTCTCTTCCATGCTCAAGCCAATCACCAATTCACCACCACACAACCAGTTCAAACATTAAAGTCACAGCTTATGGCTCTTTCCATTCCATTATCAACAAAACCAAATCTTCATTTCAGTTGCTCCTCTGCTGCCGATTCTTCATCTTTCAAATCTCCCAAATTTCCCCGTTTTTGGCCATGGCAAAAGGTACCATCATCTCTCCATATTTCTGTAACTCTGAGAATCTTCTTGCAAGTCCCCCATACTGAAAATCTTGGGTTTTTCAGGTAAAGGTGGGACCTTTAAGCGTATCTCCAATGGGGTTTGGGACATGGGCTTGGGGAAACAAGATTCTTTGGGGGTACGAGGAATCCATGGACTCTCAGCTTCAGCAGTCTTTCGACTTCGCTGTCCTGAATGGGATCAACCTCTTTGACACTGCTGATTCTTATGGCACCGGGAGGTTGAATGGCCAAAGTGAAAAGCTTCTTGGCAAGTTCATCCGTGAATTTCGAGGTCACTCTCCACAATTTCCCTTTTTGTTGGAAGCAAACATGGTTTCACCGGAACATTAAAAAGAAGATCATGAATTAAAATAGTTAATCGATTCGGTTCAATCCTGAAACCTATGAGATTGTTTTTTGTAAAATTTGGATTTAAATAAGCATTTAAAGTTAAATGCGAGCAACGTAGAAGAACTGAATTACAACTCTTTTTGATGGGGTTCGGTATGGATGTTTCAGGAAGAACAAAAGGGCAAGATGACATTGTGATTGCTACAAAGTTTGCAGCATATCCATGGCGCCTCACGCCCGGCCAGTTTGTAAATGCTTGCAAGTATGCTTTTTGATCATTTCTTCTCACATTTAATGCCAACAAGAATCTCAAGTCTAAATAAAAAGATATTTGTGAAGAATTGATCTTTGCTTCTGTTTTTAGCCGGAGTTCTTTTGAAAAGAGACTCTTCTACTTACGAGTAGGGGTAAGAATGTAAGATCGGCACGCTCACACCCCCTCCCAGACCCTACTTTTCTGTGGGATTTTGTTGGGCTTGATGTTATAGTTGTCTGTGATGAATTGTGTGTTAGGTCTTCTTTAGAGAGGATGCAGATTGAGCAAATAGGAATAGGGCAGTTGCACTGGTCTACTGCAAACTATGCACCCCTCCAAGAAAGGGCACTTTGGGATGGTTTAGTGGCAATGTATGAGAAGGTTACCTGAACATCTTATATGATTTTAACTTTGTGGGTTCTGTAATCTTGTCATCAGTGACTAAGGAAACCCTTGGGATCATTTAGGGGTTAGTTCGTGCCGTTGGGGTAAGCAATTATGGACCAAAGCAACTACTGAAAGTGCACAATTACCTTGAAGCCCGTGGAGTTCCTGTATCGTCTGCTCAGGTTCATTGAAAAGTACCCCATCTTGTGTTAAAAGGTTATGTTGTTGCTAGTTTCCTAAGCTGCATATCATTGTGTTTGGTTGGAAAATTAGGTGCAATTCTCATTGCTGAGCATGGGAAGTGATCAAATGGAGATAAGGAACATATGTGATTCTTTGGGCATAAGCTTGATCGCTTACAGTCCTCTTGGCCTTGGGATGCTTACTGGGAAGTATAGCCCTACCAATCTTCCAAAAGGGCCAAGGTGTGTTGTTTTTGTTTATGTAGCACCAATGCAGAGAAAATCAAGAAACAAGAAATGCGAAAATGAAAATCTTTATTTTGGTCCCTCAGTAGTTCTTGAGGGACCGAAACGACAAACGTTTTGATGTGGTTGTCATTCAACAGGGGCTTTTTGTTCAGTCAAGTTCTACCCGGACTGCAACCTTTGATGAACTCCTTAAGAGACATATCCCAAAAACGGCGCAAAACCATACCTCAGGTAGCCATAAACTGGTGCATCTGCAAAGGCGCAATTCCCATACCGGGAGTTAAGTCACTGAAACAAGCTGATGAAAATGTAGGTGCCCTTGGTTGGCAACTCTCTGATAATGAACTGCTAGAATTAGAATACGGAGCTCTTCAGTCTCCTCGAAAGATGATTCAGAACATCTTTCAAACCTCATAATCTTTGCTTGTTTTTTTATGTACTAAATGTCAAAACAATGTTCAGATAGCTTCATTATATTCATGCATTGAAGCTTTTGAAGTCTTCTTTATATACGTAACTTTAAAGCCATGAACGTAAGAGTCGTGTACCACCACGTATGACAATTGCTGTGAATTCAATCATCATCTTTCGACACCAATAATTACAACCGCAATATCATCCATAATATCAACCGTGATTTTTAGCATTCTTGTAAAGTTAAAGATACAGAGTATGTCACTACAGCTCTTTTGCCACCAGTTTTGAATGCCAAATTGTCAAATTTTTAAACCAAGGAAACAGACCCTACTGGCAAACCCTGCCCTCCCTGAAATCATGTAACTCATGTGACTCTTTCCATCCAAAAATTAAGTGCGAACGTGACAGAAAAATGCTATTTATACTACTATTTGTAACACCATGTTTGACATCGTCCTTAAATATATGTTAGAAGGATAGTGTGTAATGTACCCCAAACATGGTTGCGAAAGAAAAGGTGGATGAATAAGATAAGAATGGTAAAGTAAACGACAAAAGGCAAAACAAAAAGGATAATGCAGGTCATGTTATAATGTTAATGTATGTTATGATGAGCAGATTAAAAAAATAGAAACATCAAGAATTCAAGACGGTTACAAGAAATAGATATTATAGAACCCAACAAAACAGTAACTAGGAAACAATATCTCCCAAAAAATCCAGCACAGGAGCAATCCAAGTGCTGCAGCAACAAAGATGCCTACTTGAGCTTCTTCTTTGGCCTCAGCTGAAATAAGAACATAAATGCATGAATCAAGAAACCAATAAGTGTTCCGAGAAGCAATGTTTGAGGGCGAAAAAACTACGAAAAGAAAACAGGTGGGTATTCCGTACTATACCTGGTTGGTATGGCCACACTTTTTCTTCCTGCAGTTGACTGCTCGAGGGTGCAGGCGGGCATAGCACCTGGAAGGAAAGAAATGTTCTTGCTTTTGTAAGAGGCTGTCTAATCAATATACACTAATCTTAAACTTTCATAAATCAGTTTTGCTTTTGTACTCACATTGAACTAAACAACCTGTGAAGTATTTATTATATGAGAACACCTTTTTTACAAGAAGCATTTTCTCATTTTCTGCCTATGCCAATATTGGAGTGAGCAAATAATGACAGAAAATTTCTAAGAAAGGTACTGTAAATCAATCAAATTATTGAGAAACCCAAAACCAGTTTAAGAAAATCATAATGTGAAGCACTGAGCTACCACCAAGCATCAAATGCAGTCAATTATGACTAGTAGAAATCGTGTGGGTAATAAATATTATACTTATCCTAGAACTGTACTCTATCAAATCAAATATATTTAGAAAATGGACAATGCTAAATTAATTATTTTTGGAAAGACACACTTGGGGATATACTAAGGGAGTTGAAACTAAAGGAACTTGTCCAAAGTACTTCAAAAAAGAAAATATGAAGAATTGATTTGCTGGAGTAAGTGACTTGATTTTTGCAAGATACTGTCAAGGATTAGAACAAATTAACAAACTTTTGACAGTCAAGTAGTGATACAGCAGCAGCAAACATCGAATTAACTTACTTGCGGCAAATCGTCTTCTCCTGATTATATTTCTTCGCCAAGGCCATGAGAGATGGTTCAATAATCCCACCGCGAAGTCTCAGAACCAAATGCAAAGTAGATTCTGCGCAAGATTATAATTTTTTTACCAGATAGCAGCCAGAGCACACACCAAAAAACAACTTTTTTCTCAACGAATAATAAAGATTCTATTTTTTCACAGTGGACGAAATCTAAGGTGCCAGGAACTTGATTCCAATTATAATCACATCATAAAAGTTCGATCTTGTTTACAGTGGACACAAACCAGAGACTAACCTTTTTGGATATTGTAATCAGCGAGGGTGCGGCCATCTTCAAGCTGCTTTCCCGCAAAGATCAATCGCTGCTGGTCCGGTGGAATGCCTAAAATCAGAGTAAAATGAAAGAGATTATGAAATAAAAAGTATTGAAATCAGAATAGGTGTGAATTCAAGAGTACCTTCCTTGTCTTGGATCTTAGCCTTGACATTGTCAATAGTGTCGCTCGATTCAACCTCGAGGGTGATGGTCTTCCCGGTTAGAGTTTTCACGAAAATCTGCATTTTTTTGTTCTTTCTTCACACCCGCCATTCTGAAAGAGTTAAGCATATAAAACCCAGTTGCTGCGGATTAGGGTTTTGGAATGGGGGTGTTTTTGGGATTAAATTGCTTAATTGGGGTTTTCCATATTTATTTTTTTATTATTAAATGTTACCCCGTAATTCTTTTTTTTAGAGATGATCTTTTTTTATTTTTTGTTCTGTTAGTGTTAATTTAAATATTAAAAGTATAATTTGATATCAAATTTATGTTTATTGACCTATATTGATATTGGTTAGACAAATAACACAAAAAAATGAATATGATTGTGAGTTACGATTTCGTTGAAAGATTACATCTGTAGACTAGGGTTATAGTAAAAAACTATTGTAATTTACCAACGACACATCAAAAGCGGCCTTTGGAATTGCGCATGACAAGAAAGATATATTATCATTGTGAAATTATACTTTTGACCTTCAAATTAAAACCAACATGATAGAAGACAAAAATGAACTATATGTGGAAAGCTATCCATTAAAGGATTACTGAGGTAATATTTTTTAATAAAAGACTAAATAAGAAAACCCCTCTATTATAAGTGACCAATTAATTATGAAATTTATTCTTTTTTGGGAACGGAACTTAATATTCGGGTCCTACAATTTTAATAGGTTCTAACTACTCACATTAATTAGAGCATTGGAAATGGTTGTGAAGTCCCGACCTTCAAACCGGAGCTTTTAACCTTCTCTTTTTGTCACATCAGCTTTAACTCATACAAAACTTTCATTAGAAATGAGTTTAGAGCCCTGGTGCTTCGAATTGGGATTTCAAATCTCTATTTTTAAAATTTTTGAATACACATATTTTAAAATTAAATTAATAAGATTTCATTATTTAATTGAATTGAAACGAAATTAATTCATTTAAATAAAAAATATATTCAATAAAAAGTACATTAATAAAATAAGATTTGAATAATTGCAACATAAATAAAAAAATTACATTACATTACGAAGAAATTAGTGATTACTAAAAGAAACCACAGAAAATAAGAGTTCTCTTTTCATCGTCAGATGATGATCCTATTTTTAGAATATTTTGTAGAGATAATTAAAAGAAATAGGATATATTTTAGATATACAGAGAATTAGAATAGGTGTGTGTGTGTTTGTTGTGTTTAAAATAAGGGATTTTAATAGTATTGAAAATATTTTTTTTTAAATTAATGCCAACGGTCTAAATTATGGTCGTTGGGGAAGGGAGATCTGTTTGGGGAGGGGGAGGCACATCGTCAAACCTTTAACGTGTGCTTTTTGTCGCCCACAAATTAATGTCCAACGGTCCAAAACAGCCTTAATGCCTGTGGGCGTTGTACCCATTTTTGGGTGTACATTAGCCCTTTCCTAGTACTCGTATTAGTAAAAAGGGAAATTAACCTTTAAAATATAAAATCTTTTACACCGAGTATTTGGCCTTTTATTACTAAATATTAAGTTCATTATGTTTTTGTGATTTGATTTCGATTGACATAAGTAATGAGTAGAAAAATAAATTGAATATAACTAGGTCATAGCTTAAATGGTTGAAAAGAAATGCAAATGAAATACTCTATCTGACCCAAAAAAGAGAAAATTTATTTTACAATATTTTATCAAAGTTATTTTTAACTAAATTTATTTTAAAATTAGTATATACATACACACACATATATATATAAAAGAGATTGAGGTGAAATTATAAACTAAAATATAAAAATTTGTATGACAATACAATTTATTTTAATAAATGAATAATACGGAGTAAAAATAATTTAGAAATGATAAAATTTAACGTTGTAAATTAAGAAGAGTAAGAGATTTAAGAATAGTATGAGATACAAAATTGATGACATTTATTGAGTAGACATTTATTGTTAAGTTGTTTTGGGGGTTTGGATGCTCCAAAGGTTTTGGATGGCTAACAGCCTAAAGGATTGGATTCTTCTGATCAGCTTCATCTCTATCTGAAATGGCGGCTTGTCCATACCTTATACACTAATGTTCAAATTCCTCGCCGCCGCTGACCATACCGCCAGCGGATCGTACGTCTGCCATCTTATATAATCTCCAACTAACCCTAGGCCGTAATCCGCCATCAACATCCCTGCTTTTTTTTCTTTGTTTCTCTCACTTCAGCTCTGTCCCGATGGCCACCGGAGGAGGTAAAAAGTCAGTCTTGAAGTTCGATTCGGAGGATGACGTGGCGGTGGCTCTGGCAAAATACACCGCCGATCTATCGGCGAAGTTCATCGGCTCGAAGAATTCATTCACCGTCGTCCTCTCCGGAGGCTCTCTAATCGACACCATGAGGTGATATTACAGTATGATTATTATCTTCTTCATTTGCAGGTTTTGTTGTCGGACACAATTGATGGGTTTCGTTGGTTGAATAGGAAACTGGTGGAGGCGCCGTACAAGGAATCGGTGGATTGGTCGAAATGGCGGATCTTTTGGGTTGACGAGCGGGTGGTTCCATTGGATAACCCGGACAGCAATTATCTTCTTGCCTTCAATGGTTTTCTTTCCAAGGTTAGCTTCTCTGCAAATATGAGTTCCGTTTTATTAGGGATCAAAAAAACATTTTTGGGCCTTCAATCAATCCCAAGTTTGGTCTTTTCTTAGAACTTTGCTTAGTTAGATGTCACAAGCTTGAGTTTTTGGTTGAATTTATTTCTGGTAAATTTCTTGAAAAGAAGAACATTAGATAAGATCCATTTCTAGCCAAAGAATATGACAAAACCTCCTCTCATTAAGCAAGAACTGGCATTTTGGATACAGGTTCCAATTCCCTCTGAAAACATATACGCAATAAATGACAAGAAAACACCTGAAGCTGCTGCAGATGACTACGAAGCTCGCCTCAGGCAGCTGGTGGAGTCCGAAATCCTACCCCTCTCCCCCACGGGATTCCCCAAATTTGATCTGATGCTGCTAGGCATGGGACCCGACGGGCACGTCGCCTCTCTATTCCCAAACCGCCCCCAGCGCCACGAGAAGGAGCGCTGGGTGACTTTCATCACCGACTCCCCGAAACCGCCGCCCTCGAGGATCACATTCACGTTCCCGGTGATCAACTCTGCTTCGGAGAACGCAATGGTGATCACCGGTGTTGAGTTGGCCAACATGGTGAATATTGCTCTGGGGGACGGGGTGCCCCCTGGTGGGGTACCCCCTCCTTGTACCGAGGTTTCAGCTGAGGACGAGTTGACCTGGTTTTTGGACAAGGATTCAGCTTCCAAACTGTCTTGAAACATTGAAACCTAGCTAGCTTGCTTGCTTGGATTGTTGTCAGAAACCAACCACACACACAATGCCCAATAAGATGTATTTTAGTTGCTACTTTTGTGTGTGTCTTTGTTCTAAGCTTTTGTTTGTGCCCTTGTCCTTCTTGAACCCTGGTTCTTTACTTCTTTTGTTAAACTGTCATCTTTCTCAAAATAATGATGTTTCTAGCTAATGAATTCACATCATTTCGTATCATTTTATTCAACCCTCCCAACCCCCTCCCCCAAAAAAAAAAATCAACTCAATGGAGAACCATATATCACACAATTTAATTTCGAGAAATGTGCAAGAAATGGAAAACAGATACACTCAAAACATACATGGAAGAGCACTCTTAAAAAATAAAAAAAAATAATCAATCATCAAGCCAGACGTAAGTTCCCATAAATCTTGGCGTGTGTATATATAGCTCTTAATTAATCAAGATCCGCGTCACAGAAGACCCTCTGAAACCCCTTCTTAGTATCGAACGGCACATTCACCTTCCCACAGAAGATCTTAAGCTTGCGATGAATCTTGAAAACCCCAACCTTCTGCCTGATCTTGGCCTTGATTTTGACGTCCAGGCTTAGCGCCCCACCAGACGCCTGGTGCATTCCCAAGTCCCTGGCCACGGCGCCGTACACCGTGGCATCTTTGGCCACCAAATACATGTCCAAGTGGGTGATGTTCCTCCTGGGCTGATAGAACGGGTGCACATTGTTGATGGAGAGCTTCTGGTCCTCGTACAGCACCGTGACGTCGATCCTGTCGTAGTACATGGACATCCTCCGGTTGGGATTCTCCGCGCGGAGGACCATGTAGAAGTTGGAGTTGAGGCGGTTGTTGGTGAGGTTGTACTTGCTGATCGCGGCGTGCTCGATGGAGTAGTGGAATTTCCTTGGGTGGACTGAGAGCCAGATGATGAGGACGACTAGGCCCAGGAGGAGGATGAGGGCCAGAAGAGCCATGGCAATGCGCCGCGGCAGGGGAGAGCGTTGCGCTGGCGGCACTGGCGGCATGGCGGCGGTTGTGATGGTGGTGGTGATCAAGATATATTCAAGATTGTATTTTTTTTGTTTCTGGTGTGTCTGGTTGGGTGTTGTTTATATATAGGTGTAGTTGTAAAGACCTGGGAATTATCTTGACTTGTATGGAACTCAAGAAAGATGCTGGGCATGGAGATTCTTGTCTTGCAGGGTTTAATTAAAGAGGTTCTTTGTGTTTGTGTGGGGATTTGTGGGCTGTAGCTAGCTAGCTAGCTGGCAATGGGTATTCTAATTCTAAACCTACATTACAAGTTGTTCATCTTCATTCTAATCTAACCCTTCAATTCTTACATATGTACAGTACATGTGTGAAATTATTGATATCAACTTTCTTAGTTTTGTACTAAACATAATACTCCGTATGTTTGTAAATGTAAAGATCATTACTTTTAAGGAGCTAATCATTTTTAAATTACTTCATCTCTTGAGGATACTCATTCTCACATCTTTAACTATATGCCTCTCCAAAATGGCTAGAAACTAAATTCTCCCCTTTTATTTATATTAATCTTTAAGGAATTGGAGATTAGCCTTCTTCTTTAGAACTTTCTACCCGTTAGTTATCGACATTCTCTAGATTCAACCATGAAGTCTCCGCAACATTCTATATAGAGGGCTCTATAATTTATAGTTCTCGAACTTCTTCTGACTTTACTTTCAAAATAATTTAGAAAACTCCACTCTTCCACATGTTTCTTGAGAATTTGCATTTCTATAGAAACTTTAAAACATTCCAGATGATTCAGGCTGCGTTTCGTTCAATATATTTTTTCAGCTTATTACTTATTCCTATTAAAATCAAATCAGACTGAATCAAAACAGATAATATTAGAAAATTTTAAAGATAACTACAATTAGATGAGACCAAAACATATCAGATCAGACCAGATATTCAAAAACGAAACATATCCTCACTCTCGTTAGAAAATTCTATAGACTTTTAGAAACACGTACTACAATTTCTCTAAGTTACGCCATACGCCATTAGATCCCATATTGGATCCTACAGCCCATAAGATCCCATATTGGATCCTATAGCCCATGGGCCACATTTTTTCTCTTCTCCAAATGTGAAGTTGAAAGCAGAGGCATATCATCATCATACAGGGAGTAAGGATTTATTTGAGTATAATATTTTCAATTAGTGTAAGTGCTTTGAATTATTTTTAATGTTACAAATTATTGTTTAAAAATAATAAAATTAAATATTAATGTTAGACTATTTTTTTCGGGAATTATATACTCCCTCCGTCCATAAAAGAACTTCCCGGTTTGACCGGGCACGCATATTAATGTGTGATAAAATTTGCTTTGACTTTCCTATTTTACCCCTGCAACCTTCCATCTTCCAATCTACCCATACGCAATCTCTGATTGCCAACACCACAGCCGGCAATTCTCGACCACCGCCGGCGATTCTCTACCACCGCCGCCACCGACTCTCTAGCACCATCGGATGACTCCTATTGTTCTTCTTGCCGCCATCCCTTCCGTAACCCCCTCCCTCGTAGATCTAATCTCTTCCATCCGAGGTTTTGACGGCTTGAGGCAAGGCTAGGAGTAACAAAAGCTTTATAGATCTATGAAATCGATGGCGACTATGTCGAAAAAGGAGCAGATCTAACCATGGTTCTTCTTGCCCGCCTCTCTCTGGTTCACGTATGTACCATGGGATTTCATAGATCTGCTCTTCCATCTCTGGTTCTTCTTGCCCGCCTCTCTCTGTCGCTGCTTCCAATCANCCCCCTCCCTCGTAGATCTAATCTCTTCCATCCGAGGTTTTGACGGCTTGAGGCAAGGCTAGGAGTAACAAAAGCTTTATAGATCTATGAAATCGATGGCGACTATGTCGAAAAAGGAGCAGATCTAACCATGGTTCTTCTTGCCCGCCTCTCTCTGGTTCACGTATGTACCATGGGATTTCATAGATCTGCTCTTCCATCTCTGGTTCTTCTTGCCCGCCTCTCTCTGTCGCTGCTTTCAATCATTGGGTGACGGAACAAAGTCAAAACAGGGAGGAAAAGGAATTAAACAAGAAGAGAGAAGAAGAAGAAGAAAGGAAAAGAACGAAGAAGAGAGAAGAAGAAGAAGAAAGGAAAAGAATGAAGAAGAGAAGAAAAGAAAGAAAGAAGAGAGAAAAAATGGATGTGTGGCTGTGGCGGCGGCCTGTGGGTGATTTCAGAAGGGAGAGGAAAAAAGAAAAAAAAGAGAAACAGAGAAGAAGGGATGGGTGAGATGTGGCGAGGAAGAAAGAAAAAAAAGAAAAGAAAGAGAGTGGAGGGTGGGGGCAATTAAGTCTTTTCACATGAAAAAAGTTTCCAAAAAAGAAAATGGGAAGTTTATTTGTGGACGGACGAAAAAGGAAAGTGGGAAGTTTATTTATGGACGGAGGGAGTATATCATACGATCTTGAAATACACATTAGTGTTTTTGATACAGTATCATATCGAGATAGGGAAGGTTGAGCACCTTCGAGTTATAGAATCAAGGAAATGGGGGAGACTGAGAAGGGAGAGGGGAGAGAGATTAGGGTTTAGGAGTGAAAATATTATTGTTCTTCATTCATGATATTCTAAAGGGGATTACAACTCAATATATAGATAAAGATGGTAAACCCTAACCCTAGCAAACACCTAATCCCTAAGCTTTTCGGTTCAATAAAAGCGTCGAGGTAAAGAACCGAAAAGAAACCCTCGAAGGAGTGTTATAATTCCACTCAACAATAAAAAGTAAATAAAAATAATTAAACTATCTAGCTAAACTATTAAAATATCTAATTAACTAAATAATATAAATTATTAATTAATCCTTCTGTATCAGTTTTTTAGGTTGATTAATAAAAAATTACTCGTATAAGATTACATACTCTGTATAATCTAAATGTTCAATGTATCAGTGTTAAAGGTAAAGTATTTTGTTTCTTTTTCAGAGGTCTCTAATTTTATTTAATTCTATTTAATACTGATTACGGAGTATAATTTTTTCCGTATGAAAGCACAATTTTATGATTCGATTTGTAGTTATTTTAAATAAATTTCAATGGGATAATCTATTGAACGTGTTGAGTTGGGTTAAACTTGTACTCGTAATTTTATTCTGGGGTGGAAGAACTTATTACTATAACCTTTTGGAATTAGGATCATTATATCCCATATGCAAATGTCATAAGATACCTCTCCTTTTCAAATTAATTATTGTATTTGACTTTTTTATTAATCAAATTTTATAAATCTTGATTACAAATTTTCAAAATATATACTCCGTTTAGTTATAACGTAAATCTAATGTATGAATAACTGAATTTAATTTAAGTTTAATTTCAATATATCAGGTATTTTACTAACATTCATTTATGTAAAATTTATACTCCCCTAATAGTCAAATTATTACGGAGTATCACACTATTGGCGTTGAAAAGTCAGACTTAAACATATTTCTGGAACTAACGGACTATAAATGTTTTAATTACCTCCCTCCCACTCCCATAAAGACTTGATTTCCGCCCAACTTTTTCATCTTTGTTTGTGTTTAATTTGCTTACAAGTTACGCCACCCAAGAAATGGACTATGGTCCTTTATGAAGTGTTTGTTCATCATTAAAATATGTGGAACGCGACATCTCCACTCCCTAGTCCAAGTTGTAGTAAATTGGTTAATCACATATAATCTCATTCTGATCTCTCGAGAACTAAACTGAATTGACCAGTAACAAAACATACCTGACTTGATTGAATTGAATGTTAAACTAAATATAATAGTATCAAAAATAATTTGATTTCTCTATGTACTTATAGGCTGACCAAAATTGTTTATAAAATGTCTTTAACCTATAAATTATAAGTCATCAACTACTGACATGTTTCTATAATTCTATGTGTTTATACACTGCTTACAAGTCAAACAAAAATAAGGTCTTACCGACTTATTTTTAAGACGATTTTTTTTATTTCTCCATTTTGATCAGATTACTTGCAAAAGTATCCATCACCATTTATGAACATTCCCAAATGACATATCTATCCTTTAAGTCATTTTATTTCCATGAAAGAATATTTAATTTATAAATACAAAATAGTTTATAAACAATAACTCAATTTTTAATGAGCACCACTACAAAAAAGTGTGTATGCTAATATGCGTGTAACTATAGCTGTTACTAGTCAAAATGTGTGTGTGTGAATGCGTTATTAAGATATTCATCAACACGTTAATATATGTGTCTGCACTTAATTGTGTGAAACTGTCTACTTAATTTCAAACATTTTCTTCTTGGGCAGTGAATGGTTATTAAGGCTGTCCGAGGGTAGTGAGTTAGATCGCATGATGTTGGATAACTCCCTCCGTCCGGAAATATTCTTCCCACTTTCCTTTTTGGTCCGTCCGGAAATATTCTTCTCATTTCCTTTTTTAGTATACTTTTTAAGAATAAATATCAATAATATCCTTCTATTTTATCACAAATCTACTTTTTTAGTACTTTTTTAATAATAAAAGGAGATTTAAAAGTTTATAATATGTGTATTTTTGAAAATTTTGCATTTTTTTTACTATTCCTTATTAAGCATGCCAAGTCAACACGAGAAGAATATTTCCGGACGGAGGGAGTACTTCATACTTTTATCATTATCATTACAATTTACTCCGCAAAAAACTTCCTATTTTAATTTTTAAAGGATTTAAGAGAGTATATTTTAATGGCGACTTTCCAAAAATGCACTTTGATGTGACGAGTAAAGTACGATGAGATGGATTGATTAATAGAGAAAAAGTGTGTTCTTAAGTAGGTTAAGAATTAATAGGGGTAAAAATGACTTTCTAAAAGAAAAGAAACTAGTTTTTTGGGATAGATGAAGAAGGAAAGAAGAAGGGTTTTGTGAGACGGTGGGAGTACTTAATTTTCTAACTAATAACACGAGAGTAATCTGTGTTAATTACCAGCATTAATTAGGAGAACTGTTAAGATGCAATAGTACTATCACGTCCACTAGTGTTTGACTGTTTATATGTTTGTCACTCCATTTACAATTTCCTTCCTACAGCTCTAATTAAAAAAAAAAAAAGTTGAGTTCCATTGTAAGAATTGGTCGTAAATTCACTTTTAATCTTAGACTAATTAATAGAAAGTAAAATTTGTCACTGATATGTATAAAAATTTCATAGCTTTTCATTGTCATTACTAAGAATCAAAATCAAACATTACATCCTTTATTTGATTGGGGGACGAAAGCATTCATCTTCCTTTTGGGGTTCTTCAGACTGCTTTTCCAAAGCATCCTCTTGTATATATAAATCTCTTTATTTAGACTAGTTAAACAACAACAACAATAATAATACTAAGGGTATTGCTAAATCTACCCCAAACATGACTATGTTTACACTTTTTCTTTAAATTTGCTAAATTCACACCTATCAACATAACTTTAGCATTGGTGTGGATTTATAAAATTTAAGTGAAATTGGTGGATGTAGCTAGTTTTGGAGTAGATTTAGCAATACCCTAATACTAATAATAGTAATAATAATAATGGTAGTGTTAGATTATTGATCGGTTTCCTATATCTGTTAACGTGACCTATACATATACTGTCTTGTTTTTCATTACTAGCATTCTAACTCGTGCAACGCACGTGGTCGAACGAAATCTTTGTCGATTTTAGAACTTTTCAATGTAATATTTTTTTTGAAATAAAAAAAATATATTTCTTACCTGGTTTTCAATACTATAGACGAAAATTCCAAAGTCGAATAAATAATATTTGAAGAATTGAATGTGTACTCAACAAAGTGTTTTTTAATACCAAATTTTGTGATAGATTTTAGGATATACAGCATTTTTAGTATGGTTGCTAGAATTTCTATTGTCATCTAAAACCAATATTTGTAATCTTGTCTTTGTCTTCAGTCTTGAAACAAAAACATAAAGTTGGCCATGAATGAGGAATGAATTGATTAAAAATAATCCAACAAATTACAATGTTAATCTTCACTTTTGTTGATAGTCATTGCAAAACATAAACTATTGAGAATTGTCCTCTCTAGAACTTCAGCTATAGTTCTGGATTAGATAATACCAAATTCATCCGAGATATGTAAACTTTTTCTCCAACTCTATTTCCGAAAACCATTAAAGCATCGATAACACTCTTTTGCATCTATTCAAACTAATAGTAATAATAATAATGGTAGTGTTAGATTATTGATCGGTTTCCTATTTCTGTTAACATAACCTATACATATACTCTCTTGTTTTTCATTATTATTCTCAAGTAAACTTATTATGATATCATTCCAACATGGTATCGGAGTAAAGCAAACTATTGGAAATGGTCATATGGAGGAAAACGCAATCACGTACACAAGTTAAGGTGATGGCAATATTAAATCAGGAACTGCTATCTCCAAGTCGCGACACTCGCATAAAATTGTTAAAGCTATCACATTATTATTATTATTATTATTATTATTATTATTATTATTATTTTCTAACAATCCAAGATTCTATCACATCTAATTTTATATATTTATCGATATGAAATATTGGATAGGGCATTACCTCTTTTAATCCCCCCACCCCACAAAAAAAACTCAAACACTTTTAACTTATCCTTGTGAAATCTATAGTGTAACCATATAAAGATACTCCCTAGCTCCATTCAAAAAATAATAAATTGGTGTGGAAATAAAAATAAATTTACTTGCGTGGTATTTAAAAAGTACTTCGAAAAATTCACAAAACAAGAGGAGACATGACTAATACTACCTATGTCTCAAGGTATTCGTTCAATTTAACTTTTTTTGAGTTAAATTGGACAAACTTTGAACCTTAATTATGTAAACACTATAATGTATATTAGTATAAAAATAATTTTAATATATTTAACATCTTTAGAACTTTCAAAAATTTATTTCATTATTTTAATATGTAATACAAAAATTTATTCCATTATATTAATATGCAATACAAAAATTTAGAGTAAATTCCATAAAAGG